CGATCATCCGCTAGCTTCCTGTTTTAATTGTAAAAATGTATTTATATATTTGACGGACAATCCTCTCTGCCGTGTATTGGGATCGTATCGCATAATTTTATACTGTCAAATTTTACTCACGCTCGTCACAAGCCTTTTCTCGATGACTTTGTGCAATTCGCAGAATACCTAGGTACTTTCAAATTCACGCTCTTCGGGATGATGTGAATACATGTTCTCTGCGAGAATATTTCGCAGCAGCTCCGACACAAGACGAAAAGCAACTTTTCTTTTACCCTATACGGGAGTACCGGGTGAAATAGATTACATGGAGGGAGTATTTTTTTTACACCGTACAAAACTCTCGACAGAGTCAAAATTAATATTTGGCACTTTACCGATTAATTTCCTATACCCTTCGCTGATATAAATATTGGGGTATGGGAATGCCCGTTTTCAATACATACAAAGAGTACACATTCCCCTAGCCGTATTTTCTCTGCACCCGTAATTTCATATCGGGTAGCGATGTTTTCTGTGCGACCACCGAAAAACGCATCGCGCGGGTCGAGAGAATCAGATTTTATTAACGTATGATTCTGAAAAAAATCACTCATCTCGGGAATTTCACGCATTTCCCGGTCTCGAAGTCGCACTCCCATTTTTCGAGAGTTCGCTCGTAACGCGCGTCAATTGTGGCATTACGATCTGCGGACGAAAGCGTTCTGTCGCGATTCACCTGATAATACATCGGACAACCATGCCAGAAACACCCGTGAAACTGAAGTACATAATGTTGCATTCTGTTTGCCGACTCCAACTCATAATATTCGTCAACGCGCCTGCCGTCAATTTCGTATTCGCGTCCTCATCCCGCGTGGATTATACAATAACCGAGTTTGCGCTCTATCCACACTAGTCACTTTAAAGCTTTTCGCGATTGTCTATTCGCACTTCTGTATCCGCCCGAAGGAATGATTCCTATTTTTTCCTCGCGCAAAAAGTTTTTGCGAAAAACTTTCCTGTATGAGAAAGCGATAGCTGTGCATTCCTCGAAGGGACATATATTACCGCGTTCTAGAAAGATCTTTCTAGACACCATGCACAGCATCGGAGAATACCTACATCATTACGACAATATTTAACAATTTCGAGTTGAAAATTAAAAATAAAGTTTGACCGTATCATTTCCTCGCGTCATTTCGTAAACCGTTCACTTCATTTAATCGGGAGAATAATATCGCGCGTTGGGTGTTGGATCGATATACGTTTGTTTCACCTTTGTATTAAATAAATAGGGTCCTCAATATATCATTCAGCTTGGAAGCTTTAGGCAAATCAGATAAACACATCGGCAGATAATTTACGCTATCTATAAATTTAGTGTTCCCGATCGTCATCACGATAATTTTCATCCCGTTTAAAATTACCCACGGTTCTTCTGTAATTTCCGAGTTTTCGAATAAATATTTCAAGATGAATTGCGTGTCGAACGCTTTCGCATTATGTGCTATACAAATAATCTTTTTGAAACATTTTGTTGTTCGCATTTCGAGATTAACAAATTGTTTAATCGGATTATTTCGAAATATAAATTCGCGCACTCCGTACCAACGACATCGCACTGACATATCCTCTATCCTCGCACATGTTTTTCAAATTTGTTATGCGACGCAAAGAGTGATTTTATTTGTTTTCGATTCCTTCACACGTCTCGTCCTGTCATGTTATCGTAGAACACGAATGCGACGCAATCTCTTTCGTATTTATAATTTGCTCTATCTTCGAACTCATTCCCAATGGGGAAAAAAATGTTTTTTTAAACATTTTTAAAAACTTTAAAAAAACGTTTAAATAATGGGATTTGACCCTATTTTCATTTAAAAAACGTTTATTTAAACGTTAAAAAAACAGTTATTTAATGTTAAAAAAACATTTTTTTAATATTTAAAGTAAATGTTTGTTTAATGTTAAAAGAAACATTTTTTTAATGTTAAAAAAACATTTTTTAAATGTTAAAATTATTTGAACAAAATTAGAAAAAATATTACAACGCAGAATACCTTTCGTAATTTATTATTTTTTATCGATAGTACATTTTCTTTAGACAACCAATTTTATTAATTAATAGTAATTTTTAATTACATTTTTTATCTTTATTACTTACCGGGTTTTGAACTTGAGATCTCAGGGTTATGAGTCTCACACCTTATCCGTTATGCCATTTATAATTGTCGATGAACATAATTCTTATTGTCCATAAATGGTACATCTTATCCGTTATACTATTTATAATTGTCGATGAACATAATTCTTATTGTCCATAAATGATACACTTAACGCAATTATGTTGAGTTAACTTCTCTTCCGTGTTTATTTTTTTATTCCGGCCCGTTTTTTATTTATTTAAATTTTAGAAAATAATACAATTTTTAAAATTTTTATATTAAATATAAAATAAACGTAAAATAAATGATTTTTTAACACACTTTAAATAAATAAATAACGTAAAACAAACATTTAATAAACGTAAAGTCTATTCTACAAGCTTTTTGTTTCTTGTTACTATTTTTTACATCTTGTCTTCTTGTTTCTTATCGGGTTTTTGTTTTATGTCGCCCGAGATAAAAATTAACGTACTTTGAAAGAAACAAGAAATACATAGCAAGAAATATAATTGTCGATAAAACAATTGCAAAGAAGAAAAAAGCAAAAGGTAAAAAGCAAGAAACAGGAAACAAAGAGCGCATTGTAGAACAAGCTTCAAACAAACATTTAAAAAAGTGTTCCTTCGAAACATTATTTCAAACGAAAACTTAATGTAAAATGAACATTTAATAAATGTCAAATATATGTTTAAGAATATTCCATTGAATCATTATTTCAAACGAAAAATTAATGTAAAACGAACATTTAATAAACGTTAAATAAACGTTAAAAAAATATTATCCTGAAAACGAATCGTGAAATGTAAAATTAATGAAAAATAAACGTTTTAAAAACATTTCCTCTCCATTGGGACATAATAGTCCAACATGAATAATAAATGTTTAAAACATATTTCTTCAAGCCATTATTTTAAATAAACAATCGATGTAAAAAAACACATTTAATAAACGTTAAAAGTATTAAAAAAATATTTCTTTAAAATACTGTTTCAAAGTGAGTAATTAATGTAAAACGAACATTTAATTAACGTTAAATAAACGTTTAAAAAAAATTTTTTTCATCGTTATTTGAAGTAAAAAATTAATGTAAAATAAACATTTTATAAACATTTAATTAATGTTAAATAAACGTTAAAAAATGTTTTTTATCGTTATTTGAAATAAAAATTAATGTAAAATAAACATTTCATAAATATTAAATAAACGTTTAAAGAATGTTTTTTAGACAGTTATTTCAAACAAAAAATTAATGTAAAACAAATGTTTAATAAATGTTAAATAAACATTTAAAATATATTTCTTCTAAATATCATTTCAAATGAATAATTGATGTAAAATAAACGTTTAATTAACATTAAATAAACATTAAAAAAATATTTCTTCAGAACATTGTAAACAAAAAATTAGTGTAAAATTAACATTTAATAAATGTTAAATAAATATTTAATAAATGTTCCTTCAAAACATTACGTCAAACGGATAATTAATGTGAAATAAACATTTATTTAACATTAAATAAACGTTTAAAAAATGTTATTTTGGAAATGAATCATAAAACGTAAAATTAATTACACATAAATGTTTAAAAAACATTAAGTAAACATTAAATAAATGTTATTTTGAAAACGAATCGTGAAATGTGAAATTAATGAATAATAAACGTTTAAAAAATATTTTCTCCCCATTGGGTTCTCGCTCCTGCGCGCCGTTTCTTCTTGTACCGTATCACTCGTACCTCCCCCCGAATTCTCGATAGCGACTTTATATCAAAGAGGGAGCATGAAGTAAAAATGATTCGAAAGTCGCTGCGATCGGCAAGTTTTACAATATGCTCTCTCGCATTCGTGCCTCAATTTTGACTTTACGAACCGCCTACAATCGTTATATTTTTACTGATTCACAAACGCTTGCTCATCGTAAGATCTTTCCATGATGATGTTCTGCGATGACATTCGAAACATGAAGTATCGTAAAACGTACAATTTCACGTTTCGCACCTAATTAGGCTCGCGTCGGGGAATTCGCACGATTGAGTGGCGTAACATCGTGGGCATTTTTTCGTGCAGTGGTGACCTCTATCTTTACGATAATCCATGTTACACGTGCAATATCCTCCGCGAGAACCAGCAGCGGTTTTTACATTTAATTTCGGATTGTAATGACATCTACGTTCATAATATATAATATTTAATCTAATAGAGGACTCACGCCCTAAAGAGACAAGTAACGCGCAACTGTCAAACAACGGATTCTCGCCGCGTCCGAAAGTGCTAAAATTGTACATCATTATAGCAATATTTTCGATAGCGAGGTACATTGAAAACGCTCGATTTCGCGAATTCTCTCCTCGGGAATTATGACTCCAGCGTTCCTCGTTAGTTTTCTCGCTAATTCGGATTGTTTTCAACTCTGTCATATACAATTCCATTTTTCATGGAGTTCGTCTGTACATAGATTTCCACGTTCGCAATGCATTCGCGCTATTATAAGGAAATGTGGAAAACACAAATATCCGAATTATTTAATTGCAAAATCGAGCGTTTTGCTATGTCTTCGCGTATTAAACGATTTGACTTGCGGCCACGATCCGCGATGTTGAAAACACGTACGTCGAAATTTTTCGCAATATCAATTCCGCTGGCACTTTGAGCTGAACTTACGAGTCCCCATATATCCTCGGAAGTTAAGTTGTGTACCGGACGAAACGATAGTTTTAGCGGAACGCGTTTTCTAATCAACAAAAGGTATTCGCGCCTTCTATTGGGTATTGGCCGTATCGCGAAACTTGCCTCTCTTCCGGCGCGAGTTTTCCGCCCGTGACTTCGAAAAATTAAACTATTCGCCAACCTCGTGTCGATGCTGTTGCTGCTGATGATAACGCTGTTGCTGCTGATATTGAGGATGATGATGATGATGATGTTCCTCGATGTCAGCAAAATTCTCCTCTCTTTCGTTTATTAGATATTATATTAGGCGGACGTCATGTCCGCCGGTGCCACCGCTGGTTTGTACTGAAAAAATTAAGCAAATCTTGTTATACATCGATATTGATAAAATAAATTATGCTAAAATATTATATCAGATTGTGATGATTTGAAATCCCAAAGATTTTTATAGTTATAACATTAATATATATCATATGTAAACGTATTTAAGCAAATATCACGAGCAAATTTTTTGTTACATTCGAAGTAGTGACTACGTTTAGCATACTAACTCATCTTTAGTTGCTTTGTTCGTAAAAATCTCCAGAATATTGTCTCCATTGATTTGTATCATTCAACGGCGTATATGAAATATCTAATAAAAAATTCATATATGAGAATATATAACGAGAAAAATATATAAAAAGTTTAGTGAAATATTATTACCTTCAACATTATAAGCATAGTATCTTCTTAGTTTCCTCTTCCTTCTCCTCCTCCCGCTCTTCCTTTCTTTCATTCATGTTTTCTTCTTTCCCCTCCAAAGCTTCTTGTATCTCTTCTATCTCCGAGATGTTGCCGGATTTCACTGAAATATCGCTGCCGTTATCCATTTCCCCCTCCTTTTCTTCCTCTTTTTTCTCCTCTATAACTTCTTCTTTCTCTTCCTCCTGCTCTTCTTTATTTTCTCGCGCTAAAAAGTAACATTTCGTTATCTTTTGCATAAACTTACTCTTGATTTTCGCTAACATTTTAAAACTTACGTCGTAGTGGATTAAGGGAGTTCCATAATATACGCATATGGGCAGAATCTTGCGATTCATCATTTAAAATACAATTATATTTTTACATTAGTATTATTATTTTTATTTATTATTTGTTTATTATTATTAAAAAAAATGGTTTTTATAGGGAAAAATATTTTTAAAATCCAATTTACCAAATGATAATATAACCATGGGGATGTTCCGTAATACGGTAATCCCGCACGGTCTCGATTCATGCTCTTCCTAGAAAATTAAATATTTTTAGTAGACTGTCTAATTCAATTTGCAGTTTAATTTCTAATTATTATAATTTTTTATTATTGTTCAACTTACGTGCTGGTACAACTTTATTAATTGCTTGTTCGGCTGGACGTCGTCACCTCAAACTAAGTCGGTCTAACGGGTGTCCCCCATGATGCGGAACTGTACGGTACAATGCAATTCGAAACTATAAAACAAATGTTAGAATTTAATGAAGCGAACTTTTAGTAAAATTTTCTTTGATTTATTTAAAAAAACATATTGTAACTGCTTACCTCCAACGCGATGCTTGAAGTCGGCTATATAACCTTCAGCGTCGTCTTTTTCATGATTGAAGCACTCGCATACTTTTAAATGATGCGAGATTATTTTCAATCCATCAATCTCGCATCGCCGCCGCAATGCCCCAGCTTGTGCATAATGCATAACAATGTATTGAAGCACCTGCGAAACACCCAAAAACTGAATAATTCTTCTCGTCATTATCTGACAACTTTGTTATAATAGTTATAGATAATCAACTAACTTCTGATTCAAATTGCAGAATTGATAAAGATTTTGCAAGCGTTTTTTATCGCTCACGAAACTATTGATTTTATAATTTCACAATGAAAATCAATTCTTAACAGGGAAAATCAACGTAAGACTAATCCTTAACTCACTCGATATGAGCTATTTATACGGTAGTGATATTCACGAAAATTCTTAAAGAAGGATGAATCAATAAAAATTTGTAGCTACGCCATTGTAGATTTTGACAATTTTTCCGATTGGTTTCCTTCCTTTACACGAGATTTCCTCGAATTTTAGAGATTTTCTCGAAAAATTTTCAGAGTGGGAGATGATAAAAACTCTCTGGTTACGAACAACATTCTAACAAACCTTGACAATATAAAATTAATTCCCTTCCTCGCATATGAGCATCATTCCCATCATCGCTCATCTTAGGAAAAGCCTTTTCTCTCATTTTTATTATTATCTCAGAAAAGTTTTTATCACATGTTTTTCCGTACTATGATATTCTTATTGTTGGAGTAACTCAAATTTAATTTTTCCCACATTTTTTCCGCTTTTTTAGAAAAATTCTCACTTATTAATCTATGACAAGCAAAAAATAAATTTTTTCAATGAAGAAGAAACGGAATTTCATTTTTATACGTAGCGCTTGATTTTTGTTAAATTTCGTTTGACATAAGAAAGAAAAATCATGGATTTAAATCGTGAACATAATCCTCGTCACTTAAATTTTTTTCTTGATTTTCGTTATATAACTATAAGATTTAATTTTTTATGCTATATAAAAATAAATATTATGACGGTTGACAAATAATTTTCTTCAGGGATAACGTTTCTCTTTCATTAGAAAAGAATCTTGTTTAAATATTAAAATTGTTTTTTTGCTCGGGTAAACTTTTATGTTTATGCGTATCCTTAGTTCCAGTGTTAGTGAGAAATATTTCTAAAATTTATGAAAAATAAATTCAACATGCGCGTTAGAATATGTCCTTTACCCTGATGAATTATTTTCAAATATAATAGTAACTCTCGCCACTTAAATTTTTTTCTCTTAACTATCGTTATATATCTAAGACTTAATTTTTTATGCTATATAAAAAGTTTTATGACGGTTGACAAGTAATTTTCTTCAGGGATAACGTTTCTCTTTCGAAAAAATTTCTTTTCTTTAGAAAACATTAAAATTGCTTTTTTGCTCGGATAAACTTTTGTATTCATCTTTAGTTCCAGTTGTGCTAGAGAAATATTTATGCGAGAAATATTTATAAAATTTATTAAAAATAAATTTGACGTTAGAATATTTCCTTTACCCTGACGAATTATTTTCAAATATTAGGTGTAAAAAGAAATCCAATAGATGGCTTTAGTAATCTGTATCACGCGTAGACGAGATTCGATTGGAAAAATAATGGATTTCTTTTTACTACACCTAATATAATAGTACTTCATATTCGAGTAATCTTGACGATTTATTCGATTTGTTACGAATTCGAGCATATTTATGATATGAAATATTTCCATTATTCATCTTCGAGAAAATTCTTTCTGAAAAAGTAACTGCGTCACATAACAGCATAGCAAGATTCTTCTAGAAAAGTAACAATTTAAACAAATATTATGCGTTTCATTGGTTTTCGAAAAGCATATATAAGCGCAAATCACTTTACATAATGTTACGAATTCAGTCGTGTCTCGTTATTCGAAGAGTCTACTTCGAGTCTTCTCCTAGTTTTCCTTTATTTGAGTGAGAAATATTCATACAAAGTTTTCGCATGAAGCGACATGGTGAAAGAGGAAAAATTGGAAATCACTCTGTGCCTGATAACCCTCGTGTGATAAACAATATTACCGAATGAAATGAGCAATAATATTTGCTGCTCTCTACGACGTATCCACTCAACTCCTCTCATACGAAGAAATTACATGTGGGACAATCAACAAAGGAGGGAATCTTCGAGCCTATCGTCAAATTGACTGGTAATTATGCAGAAGGAATCAGTGAAATTATCAAACTCACTTTTCGAGGCAACAAAGAAGACATTGAACGCTGCGTGAGAACACAAATAAAAAAATCTGTCATTTTTGGAAACATACTTTAATATATTATTTTTAGAAATAACTGAATTAAAATTCAACGAAATTGTTAACATAGTTTTAATAAATCGAGGATTACGACTTTTATAATATATTTTTTCATGTATAATTCATTTATTAATAACTCTTTTATCAATAAATAAAATCTTCGTATCTTAAATTCTCGACTATTTCACGTTCTAAATATCTCAATTCAGATAAATAATGTAGATTTTTATCATATTTAAATAATCTCCAGCATAGAGTCCAGAAGAAATTTATTCTCTAAAAACGAGTAAATCACCATGCCGACCGGTCGGTATTCATAGTCCATATTCTTATATTCAAGATTATCTTAAGATGTCTTCTAAATTCATAGTCGAAAAATAAGATGATACTTGAGTAAAATCTCAAGTTAAAACTTATCGAAGATGATCTTATTTCAAAATGTCTTGAACAGTCTTGACATGATTCATAAACACATCTTAGTCAAAATAAGCATAGACTTAAGACTACCTACTAATTACGAATTCATAGTTATTATAAGACATCTTATTTGACATGTATATATAACAAATAAGACTGTCTTCGCCAAGACGTGTTCGAGATGGACTTAAGTAAAAATTAAATAATTAATGTTAAGAAGACCTCGTTCACTTTAAATTTTAATAAAAATACATTGAATAGATGCGTTTTCGCGTAAAAATAAATATTTGAATAAAAAAATGTCACTCTGTCCCGCGAACCAAGATATTAAACATCAAAGTTGACGACTATTGAGGTTAGGAAATCTGTTATACTTAAATGTATCGACATGTGTTGTGATCACGTGTGCAAGTTCTTGTAGGCAGACAAGATATTTCTCTACTGCAGACTCTTATTTGATTGTATTGAAAAATAGTATATTCAATAAAGCAATTAAATAAAGATTCATGACTTGCTGTTCAAAAATTTGTTGATAATGCAAACTTATGCCCAAAATTCATACGGGAAATGTTTTGACTGAGATTCAACCGATCATAAACCAATATGATTCTTGTAAATTTTGTAAATTTTATATAAATGCAACATCAGAAGATTTTTTATATAACATTTTATGTTTCACATTAAAACGAGCATATACAAAAAGTCAGAAACAATCTATAATCACAGTCTAATCATACAAAAAATAATATAATATCACATTTCGTAAATTTATACTTCTCAAATGCAGTGTTTCTATTGGAGAACGGTTTCCAACCGAAATATTACGGAAACAGTCGAATATCAAATAAGTTCAACTTTGAGACCATCTTCGTCAAGAAGACCTTAAATCAAACAAGAATTTCTTAAGAAAAAACTTCTTCTCGAAAGTCATCTTATTTCATGACTATGAATTATTAGGATCTCAAAACGATCTGATTGAATAAGACAATCTTGACCAAGATGACCTTAAGCGTCCTTGCCTTGAGTTTTGACTATGAATACGGGCGTACGACGACGCGGCCTACCAGTACGAACTTGTTCTTTCCTGTTTTACTTCCCCTTTCTCTCTAGTAAAAGTAAGAGTCTCCCGAAAATTCTCGTAAAAGTCTATGTCGTAAATAATAAGAAAAAAACTTTTTCACTATCAGTACGCCGGAGACATTGCAGCAAAAAATGACTTACAAAACAAAAATTGTTATTCATATCCGCCACGGTATTATTCTGACCGTACCTTCTCCCTCCGTAACAAATAAATTTTTCGGTCTCAATTTCCTTGATTTTTCCATCCATCATTTTGTCACGGTATTCATCCTTGTCAACATCCCTTCTCCAGTCACCGCGTGGATGACTATGTATAGAGCCAATCAGCATGTGGGCAGCCATGGACCGAGCCAATCAAAATGCACCATTTAATTACCTCGTTACCCTACCCTCGCGTCACCAACCAATCAAAGCGTATTATTTTTCCAGACAGATCACGCTCCCACCGCCGGAGGTGGAGTGGTGGGGGTTTGCTTTGATGGCCCATGGCTGCCCATATATTACTCACATCATTCCGACAATATTTTATTGTTTCTTGTTTGAAATCAAAATCAAAATTTGATCGCGACATTTTCTCGTGCCAAACTATAAAACGCTTGTATTCTTCGGGTTTCATTTGTTCGGGCGAATAATATCGAGCGTCAGATATTGGTCTAATATAATTTTGATTTTGTAGTACATATTAAACAAATGAAGAAAAAAATTTTTATTCAAAGTATCCAGTAGTCGGAAAGCCTTAGGTAAATCGGATAAATGCATAGACATATAATTTATATTAACAATAAATTTCATACAACCAATCGTCACAATAATTTTTGTCTTGTTCAAATCACTCAATATTGGTGTACGACTTATAAACAATAAAGCTTCAACAAAAGAAAAAATACATATAATATTAGGTGTTGGAATTAATTCGTAGCGTTTTTTAATGAAAGAATGTTATTTATTTCACAGCATTAAAAAATACATTAATAAAAGTACTTCCCATCACTTGTAAAACGCTACGAATTAATTCCAACACCTAATATTTTAATAGAAATTTCTATATCTCGCTTGATCAACAATATCACTTGGTTTTTGTTAGTTTTCCTTCTTCAGGATTTGCTTCATCATGAGGAAAAAATGGCGAATATACCTTTATTTAAAACTTTTCTCATGTACTTTTATCAATACAACTAATAAATTTTAATTTTTGTATTCCATAAATTTCTGTATACTACACGTTTTTTTCCCTTAGAAGTACACACAAAAGTGTAGAAAAAAGGAAGATGAAAAAATTTTCTTGCATTATTTCATTATCCCTCAATTTAACATTTTTTTTGTCGTACTTCTGTCTTTTTAAACATTAATAAATTTTCTAAAAAAAGCAATAAACCCCATCGTAAATTTACTTTAAATTTTTAATCGAAGACGTTTCATAAATTTCTTCTTGTTTAAAAAAAAACTCGATTATTGATGTACTATTTCTTATTCATTAGAAACTACCTCCAAGCTAAACCAATTCTTTTGTCCTTATGGTTTATTGCGAAAAAATTTTCTCTTTTCGGCTGGTTAAATTCCTTCCACAGTCATTTTATAAAAAAAGCAGGAGAGGAATCGAACGTTCCTTTTCGTTCCTGTTCGTTCTCGTTTTATCTCACTTCTCTCCCCTCCTGACTTCTGTAGTATATAGATTATTTTAAATTTTTAAGAAAAATTTAAAGAAAGTTTATGTTTTTTCATTTTTTTCATCTGCGCGCGCAGAATAATTTTATTACGTAGCGATGGAGAGGGAGGCGATGTCGACGGTACAATAGAAAATCCGTTTCATTCGAGTCTCGTCGTCCGCAGCTTCAGCTTCGTGAGCAAACAAGTACTGTGCTTCTTGTGTTTTTGATTGCTATCTTGGTTCACTTGAATTTGGTATTACTGTGGTGTAAGAACAATGGCCAGTCCAAAAAATACTACTAATTCGGACATGGGAATGTATGCCATCCCTGATTTTTTCAAGATACGAAACGACGATGACGAGAGAAGAAACGATCGATTTCATATGTTGTTAATAACATTGTATGGTATATATCTTAAAAATTTTCATACGAAGACGATTCACGTAGGATTGTAAAAAACGAATGAAGAAATCTTCAAATTTTTTTGTAAAATTTAGTGGACACAATGAGGACGGAATTTATTTCAACTGCTGGCAACAGATCAAGATTATATGGGACTCATAAACGAGTTTAAACAGCGATAACAGAACGAAACTTTGTTGTTATAAAAAATATTATAATACCATCAGCTTTACCATATCTTACGGAGCAAAATCAATAATGCTAGCGTATAAAGAAGAAGAGGAAAATTCCAACGAAAATCTTCGAAAAGAAGAGCACACGCATGATTCAATTCCACCGGCGAAGAAATGAAGAATTACGCAGTGGTAATACAGAAAACTATCTTTCTCGGACATCAAACCAAACTTGTAAAGTGCGTTGATGTGCGTTTAAAATAATTAGAATTTTTATCTGATAACAAGTGTGATTATTAAGTGTGCGCTATATTTAATCTAAGAAATCGAATTGAAACTATCTGCAAGTTTTATTAATTAGGAAATTATAAAATTAACGTTGCAAGGTAACTATGAAGATATAGAGTATAATGTATGTACACAAATTAACGACTTAACTTTTTTTGATATGTATTTCAATATAATATTTTTGGAATTAACTTCATTAAGGTATAACGAAATTTTTCATATAATTCTCTCGAAGCGAGAATCTTTCGCTTAATTTTTCTAAAAACTTTTTCAGTTTATTCTCATGCAAACTATGTATTTCTTCTTCTTTGAAAAAAAGAATTTGTATCAATAAATACATTTTCGTATAACATAAACCCTCGTTTCTTAATCACTTTCCAATAACTTTTTTTTCTGCATATTTCCGTGTTATATGTATAACAAAGACTTTTAAATAAAGTACAAGAAGTACAATACACATTCTTAAAATCCTTGTCATAAAAATTATACTTACTCGAACAAGTGAGTCATCACACCGGAGACGACGCGTCGCGTTAGTTGAACATGTTTGTTTCTGTTTTACCTCCCCCATTCTTTCTAGCATAAGTAAGACTCCCCTAGACAAATTTTTGTATAAGATCTCATCTCTCATAAATAAAAAAACATTCACAAAATGCCAACACATCGGAAACATTGTGTCGCGCCAACAAAAAAAAAATGAAATAAATCATCATAAAATCGTCATAAAATCTGTTATTCATGCTCGGTGTTCATATTTTGCCATCACGACAAAAAATGTTACAGTCCCAATCTCCATTCACTATTTTTTCGGATTTTACTCTCCATTTTGTCAGAGGTCTTCTATCACCTCCTTTTCCAATCACCTCGTGGGTAGGTACGGTGCGAACCAATCAGATTTTTGTCAAGTATAGGGCGAACTAATCAGAACATACCAATTAATTACCCTATTACTCCCACTTTTCACTCCTCGATCAATCAGAGCGCGCTCTTTTTCCAAACAGACCCATCTAGGCCCACGGCGTCGGAGGGAGGTTGTTTTGACGCCCCATAGCTATCCATATATTATTCACGTTAATTTGCATGCTATTTTTAAATAAAAACAATTTAGATGAAACGAAATGACGAAATCGCTTTAAAACACTTGTAAAAATAGATGAAAACTATTCTTCCCTCTCTCGACAGTCAGTAAATGGTAGTAAAAAGCACGTAAAGTAAGTCTATATTCGTACAGAAATACACGTCCGACAGCTGTTGAAACAAGTAAAATATACGCTTTTACATGTAAAATTCCCAAATAACTTTAGTTTTCATCGGTAATTACGACTTTGATAAATACGAGACAAGTCACATTTTCACAATTAAGCAAATAATAATGAAATGGCATGTAATATATTAGGTGTTGGAATTAATTCGTAGCGTTTTTTAATGAAAGAATGTTATTTATTTCACATGAGCATTAAAAAATACATTAATGAAAATACTTCCCATCACTTGTAAAACGCTACGAATTAATTCCAACACCTAATAAATTTCGTCGTTAAAACGTCACTCTCCACGCCTATAAGTACGGCGTTTATCGTGGTACAGAGCTGTAACATACATACAAGCACGAGCCCATATCCATGTGCTCGCTTGTGGCGCGCCGAGAGTGAATGAGATAGCGAGCTCCTTTTCACTAATTTTTATTTCAAGCGACCGAAAATGCTTTCTCGGCAATCTCGGCCGCTCGGCGGCCCTGAGCATTAATAAGGGGCGGGGAGGAGGCATTCTAAATAACATATAAGTTTTAATAAATTGTAATAATATAGTGTACCCCTCCCATTAATCCAGAATAGTTAATTATGTTAAAATGGAACAGTTTACGAGATATTTAATTGTTTACGATTTTTCATGCGCGTTATATAGTATATACCCCTCCTTCATAAACTCGAGTAGTAGAGTTAGAGAAGAATAGTTCAGTAAAAGTATAATTTTGCCGGAAAAAATTATAAACCAGTATTTCTTTTTACGAAAATCTTGAAAGGTGATCAGAAAAGAAATGCGTATGTTTGACACTCGAGACTTGTAAAGAAAATATGCGGAAAAAAATTGAATAGCAAAAAGCACGTTTTTTATAAAACGAACGTTATAAAACGAAAGATATTTATTGTATGAAAAAAAAATTGTATAAAAAATGTAGGTATCCGAAATACCTATAAAATGAGACGTGGAACATTAAAATCAATCTATTAAGTTCAATAGATAAAAAATAAAAAACACTGGAAAAGGCTTTTTTCACTCGTTCTCTGTTCATTGAGATTTAAACGCAAAGCTTTGAAATTCTTATAAAATTTAGCCCGCAATGACGAACAAATCTAGCTCTGAATAAGTCTGAAATGTTCATTAATTTTTTTTGCAAAAAGCTATTTACTCACCAAAAACCAGTCTGCGGAAAACTTAATTTCTTCATCTTTGAGCAGTCGCACAGCAATTTACAGTTTTGAGTGCACTGTTAACAAAATATATTAGATAGAATACAATATTATTTTATATCAGTTATACTACAATAGGCTGAGCGACAACTGAGCAGCTGATTTGAAGCCATATCTGTATATTAGAATAAGTGAATTATAAAAATTAAAATCAAAACAATTAATTACAATTACATAAATACGCAAATTATTTTAAGAATATTGAAGTAAAAAGAAACATTATAACAATTAATTAAAATAATTAATATTACAATTACATAAATACGCAAATTACTGTAAGAACATTGAAGTAGAAAGAAACATTATAACATAACATACACTGCTTATAGAGAACAACAAGAAGAATTGTACAGAACAATTGATCTGACATTAAAATTTTGACGCAATGTTTCGAGTAATTTCAGAACGGAATACAGGAAGCCGCAGTAGAAAGCGTAAAGCAGATGGTATATTATTATAAAATTTCACTGCAGTGTAGAAAAAGGCGCTCTGAAATTTAGATTTGTGATGTGATGAGTAGGACATGAAAATATTGCTAACGAGTACTAGGCAAAGCACCTAAATCAGAATCAACATTAAAACGGATTAGCTCACGAAGACATCTAGGAGTATTGGTGTGAAGAACATTATAAATCAAGCAACATAAATGAACTGTGAAAACTGAACTGTTGGAAAATATTCAGCCAACCAGGGCGCTGAAAAAACAAGGAGTAATATGATCGTACTTTCTAACATCATAGAAAAAACAAAGACAGGAATTTTGGATTAATTGTATTCTATGAAGATTATTATAATACAACTTTAAAAAGTAAGTATCTTTTTTCGTATAAAAAAATGGAATAATTCTATTAATATGCATCATATCAAATAGCCGTCTGAAGCATTCGACATCTAATATTTTTCTACGAATTTAAAAAAAAAGATTACCTTCTGATTATTAAATGCCGAAATACCATTTTTTTTTCAAATAATCACTGTGGCTCTAATTTTTAAGATTAAGAGTTCCGTCTGGTACCAATTTGTCAAGGAAGAAAAAAAAAATTAAAATTAAATTTACTATTAAAAAATTTTCGAATTTTTTGCTGTCGAAAAAGTTCATCAGTTTAACACCATTGGAAAGTTAAAGAACGCGAGCTAGGCAGTGCGCCGGGCGAAATGAGAGAAGCCGGCGCGCAGTCGAGTGGGGAAAATTGAGCCGTTCGGCGATTTGCATGTATGTGATTTCGTAAATTTGTTAAATTTACATTTTCTCAGCAATAAATAGACGTAAAAACATGATTTTTTAAAATCTGGGATAGTTTGACGAGATATAAACAAATAGCTTAACCAAATGTTTTGCAAAGTAATTGTAACTATAAAATTTTTAGTTTTTTGTTTAGTGAATTTTTATTTTTCCAGTTTATTATTAAAAAATCATGTTTGAATATGGAGTGCATGTCTGATTAACAAATTTAAGTCACATTAGCTTTCTTTATTTAACATACTGTAAAAAAGAGTGTCCAATTGAATGTACGGAATTATCAGTACAAAATTGTTTTTGTGAATGTAATGCAGATGCAAATATGACATATGTAAACAAATAATTGATAAGTAATTTGCTAAATGTTAGTGTAATTGTTGAATGTAGTTGCAAAATATATTTTTCGTGTAACACTAATTTACTTTTATATATTTAAAAAAAAAAGTTAGTGTTATATCTTCAATAGTTATGCTAACATTTTACGAGAATTTCAAAGCTTTGCATTTATATCGCAATAAACAGAAAACGAGTGAAAAAAAGGCCTTTATCGATGTTTTTTATTTTTTTTTCACTGAACTAATAGATCGATTTTAATGTTCCATCTCATTTTATAGATATATTTATATGAATACCTACATTTTTTATATCAAACTTTTTTCTATACAATCAATATCTTTCGTTTTATAAACGAAAAACATGCTTTTCACAATTATTCGATTTTTTTCGCATATTTTCTTCACAAGTCTCGTGTCTTAAACATACGCATTTCTTTTCTGATGACCTTTCGAGACTTTCGTGAAAAGAAATACTGATTTATAATTTTTTTCCGGCAAAATTCTACTTCTACTGAACTATTCTTGTTACTCGTGTTTATGAAGGAGAGATATACTGTATAACGCGCATGAAAAATCGTAAACAATTAAATATCTCGTAAACTTTGCGTTTTAACATGATTTATACTATTCTGGATTAATGGGAGGGATACTATTATTACAATTTATTAAAACTTATATGTTATTTAGAATGCCCTCCGCCCCTTATTGATGCCTAGGGCCGCTGAGCGGCCGAGATTGCCGAGAAAGCATTTTCAGTCGCTTAAAACAAGTGACTAGTGTGAGAAGGAGCTCTATTTCGTTCACTTTCGGCGCGCCGCAGGCGAACACACAGACATAGGCTTGTGCTTAAGTGTGCAGCTACCGGTTTCGCCAGAAACCGCCGTCTGATTTTGTGTCGCCAACGCAGTTTTTAGTTGAGTAGTCAGAAGCCTTAAGTCCGATAAAATTTCGGCACTCA